TCTTTATGCGCGAGTTACATTCCAAAAAGTATAGTTTGGTTATTGGGAGAAATGGAGGCCTCATGACCTGAAGAAGCCCGTTTATACTGCTGACAATGGAAAACCCAAGGAATGTTATTTATATATTCTTTTTTTTTCAAGGCTTAGTCCTAAAATATATGTCATTATGCAACTGCTTTATTAATCCTCCAAAATCCTCGGGAACACATAAAGACAAAAAAGGGTTAAAGTTTATCATTAAGGCAAGCCTAATCTCTCTCTTAAAAAAAAAAAAATTGTCTCACAGTTTGCACCAAAGCTCTGTGACATGAATTATTGCAATAAAACATGTTCATTCATCCTCAACTCTTAATGTTCCTGGTCAACAACCTGCCTAACGCAACAAAAGCCACAAGATGGCAGTATTTAATCGAAAAACCTGCCCACAAGCAAGTCGTTTTTCAGGACAATGAGGACAAACGCAGCTAGAACATCAGTCCACCTCAAAGAAACTAATGAGTCAAGAAAAAGAGGCGACCTTTATTTGGTATGACAGATGGATGAATAGAGAAGATAGAATTTGAAGCCTGTGACGTTTATTTATCATGTAAATTCAACATGCAGGACAGTTATAGAAACTTTTTTGTTTTCTGCTGGATGGATTTAAAATCAGTCTTTTTAAATGTTATGATTTGGCAGTATTTTGTTTCCAGTTTAATGATTTAGATCTGGTATCATCTTCCACTCTTCTGCTGATGACAAAAACAATAATAATAAAAAAAAGTCAGAATCAGATAAGACCACACCTGCAGAGATACGTAAACTGATTACACCCTAATCTCAGTCCATCAGTCATTTGCATTTCAAACATTTAAGCGGACATACTTGATTCTTGTCAATTTCCAAAGGTGCATTACTTCCGCCAGTTCTGTTAATCTTTCGACATCTCCCAATCGTGCCTGTGACTCAGAGCTTCCTGTAGCAATTGGCACAGCGTTCAGTCCCTGAACTAAGTGCATGTGACACGATGGACAAGAGCTAAGTGGCAGTAAATTGCGTTATCAGGTTTGAGTGTGATGATTCTCAATGTAACCAAAGAGAGAACAAAACACAAATGTGATATTGAAATTGCTGTGCACACTGTGTAACATCAAACTGGGGAGATGCCTTTTTGTGGAGGCTGTGGATTGACATATATGCGTCCTTTGATAGTTCTCATAATAATATACTGCCATATTCTTTAGTTATCTACTCAAAACAATCAACTGGTGGGAAAAGCTGTCATTCTTTTCATAGAATATCATTTAGAAATACAAAGGAAACATTTCAAAGATGTATTTATTTGCTATTAACATTTAGAAGCTCCTCACATTCTTTGGATTTTGCTGTCACCCGCATTATTGTTAAATGACTGAAATGTCACACGTATGAAATTTCAAAGCTGAAGAACCTGAACATCCTGAATACACATAACCATCAAAAGATTTTTCACATCACTCATATCTGAGTACAAGACGTTCTGTTTTGAAACAGGATGTGACAAGCTGAGAAGTCGAGAAAAAGATTCCTGGATTAAAACAGGTTCATTCATTTACTTTTAGATGTTTACTGTGTAAACCATTGGGATGCCATGGAGACTGCATGCCCTGGCAAATGAACGTGGCTCAGAGCCAAAGACCAGGGGCCCTGATTAGGAGAGGTAAAAAAGCACAGCACCAAGACCCATGCGTGGCCTGTATTCTTCTTCATAGGAAAACAAATCAACGTCTGAGTGAGAGTGTGTAATCAATGTCACAGAACAAACAATTCCGACAAATATTTGCCCTCACTATTTCATGAACCAAGTTTAGCTGTAGGAGAATTGCCTGTAGGATGGCAGATGGTGAGTTTGAGGGTAATCTCACTGGCTTCTCTAATTAAACCTAATTAATTTGTGCTTGACAGTATGCACTGAGTGCCTCTGGCTTTTTAACGATACAGCAGAAGATAGGATTTAGAGTTCTTTTAATAAAGCTGTTATTGATTCACTCACATCTAATACAAGTCTTATCTGACTGTCATGACAGGCCCGTGAAACAGTTCAGAGACACAGAGAAGAGCCTGAAACCACACAGCTACAGTTACTAAACAGATAAATCTCTTTGAGAAAGAAAACAGGGTTTTTCCTTTATAAATTTGCTCATAGCACTGAAAAAAACATGGAAAAAGTGCTTTCTCATCTCTGTCATTTTTACATTAATCTGATTACTGTGGGATATGTTATTTTATGTATATTTACAGAGATGCTCAATATGTACAGATGTATTGTTGTATAGATCTTGCAGGATTTCAGTCCAGTTTGTAATTTATGTTTCTAAAATATCATATCATCAAAACAATGTAACTTGGTCTGATTTTAACCATTAGGCCTACATTCAAATATAATTTGTTATTGCATAATATTTCAAACTCTAAAGCATAGGAAGGAAAATATAATTACTTCACATCTGAATTGGAGCATCTATTATTGTTACAGCTCTACCTATTTTTTGCCCCTCTGTTTATTATCTCACTCATTCTCTGAAACATAACTAATGGGATGTTTGTTAGCGTGCATGCAGCAGATGCTGTGCCCCAAAGTAACAATGCACCTCATAAGATCCCATGTGTTGTTCACAGTCTCAACCCTGTCATGTCCAAGAAAAGTGTATTATGAAGTCAGAAATGGAAACAGCGGTGGCTGTGCATGTTTTCCCTGATTCCGTGATGCCACTGGCTGATCAGAGCCCCGTCATGCGTCTCAGACAGCTGACCGTCAAAAACAAAACCCCTCACCTCCCACACTGCAGGGCTCTGCCTCACTGAACCACTTAATAGCACTGCTTGTGCAAACATTGTTTGAACAAATGTTATAGAAAATGTGTATCTTAGAGTGTTTGCTCTTAAATAGGATTGGTAAAAAACAAAAAACAGACAGAAATTGTATTAATTATGATTAAATATGATTGCTTAACTTCCTCTTCCAGGTGCATAATACCACCATCCAGCACTTACATAAACACTGGAATGTTTGATAGAGTTGTCAGATGGGACAGTATGCACTTCCCATGATTATTTTCCCAACCAGTAGTTTCAATCTCTCTTCTGACCCCAGATATTTTATTTTACTGTGTTCAGAATCCCCAAAAGTCTGGCCATTTTCTGTGAGTTTTTTGCTAGTGTGAGCAGAAAAATTCCACAATAAACAGATTCAAGATTTGGCTGCCGGTGAAATGCAACAGTGTTTTCTTCTTCTCTTTTCTTTACCCTGTAATGAGCCTCCCTGGTGGTTTAGTTTGTGATAAACTTCGGGTTGAAACCATCTGAAGCCAAACCCACGGCTGAATATATGAGCCTGAAGGGAAGCTGAAATTTCTTTTCTTTTTTTAAAGTATACTTATAATCTTCAACACGTTTTAGACTATTTCTTTTCATTGTGACTACAATTAACATTAACACAACTACTTTTTTTTCCTGTTTAGCAGTGACATTAGTTAGTGGAGTCAAGATATCAGTTGCATCCCATAAACAACAGAAGCGCTCTCTATGTAAACTGCCTCATGTGAAATGTTAGCCGCGCATTAGGTTGCCTCTCCTTGTGGACAATAGCTATAATTCACTCAACACAATAACTTCTTCCTCCAGCAGCACAACCAACAATGATTTGCTGGGCCATTAGCCTGAACTAATGAAATAAGCACCCGTCTGAAAAATGATTTCCATCACTCCTGTCACCTAGAGTCTGATACGTGTACAACAACAAACACATTTAAGAAGCTTGATGTTCACTTAGAGTCGGATCCCATAAGGGTTAAGCTCTTTTAACAACCTAAAGATTTTGTCTGTCCATGGATACTGATTTCTGCCCTTCATGTGTGCAGATTGAGAAATGAATCAAAGTACCCTTGTACTATGATATCAAAATTTATAGGCTGCCTTGTACTTGTGGATTAAATTCAATGATGCCATGACAAGTTAGGGTTAAAATATTGCATGAGCCATGATTATGCTTTGTATATGGATCCATAAATTCAAGTGACATCAAATTGGGTGTAGTTATAGGGAAACATGACAATTTCTCAAAGTATGGGATATTTGTCCCCAAAGCTGATTCTCATTTCCATGTGCATGTCCATGTGACTGCAGTATTCTATATCAGCCTGTATCGCTGCTGTTTAGATATCTTTTTTCCTTTCCTCGAATTTAAATGAAATAATATCAATACTGTAGAATAAGTAAAGGCTATTTCATCATATATATTAGCAGCACGATTCAGGCGAGTATTTGGGCAAACTTAGATCAAAGTATTTTGCATTTCTGATTGAAATAGAAATAAATATGATACAATTGTTATTCTTTTTTACTTAACAAGAGCAGATATAAGTGAGAAAGGTTATCAGATCAAACATGGAAAAGTAAAGAAAATAAGACTCAAGTATATTTCAATTCAGTAATGTGGTTATGATGGAAAGAATATTGATTGTATTGCAGTAAAACTTTCAAAACTGTCAAATAATTGAAATAGTCAAATGATCTGTGTTTCAAAATTGTACTTAGTTTTAATGCTTGAAATTTAGTATATTAATTTTTACTTTGCCAATAGGCATATCACCATAGCCTTATGGTAAATAAAACTGAAAACCTGTTTTAAACAACTACTAGGCCTAATTCTAACTGTACTTTCATGAAGTAAGTGAAACAATAACAATGTTTGCTTAAAGTGGTATAGCTATATGATGTATTGTGAAACTTTATGCTGCATGGTTTACAGGCCGGGCTCTTGTAGGACAGTGTTGATCAGATTTATCTTTATCTAGCCTTCCCTTCACTCAGCAGGAACAGGCAATAAAAGCATTTCTCTGTTCTGGTGTTTATGGTCAACTTCAGGAAGTTTATCCAGCTTTTCACTGCTCTGCATCATTAACCTTTATATGTTGTAGCCTTTGTATGTGAGGCTGTAATCCATTTTCTGAAGAAAAATAAGTGCCACTGTAAAGCTATAAATGAGCCGGGAGTTGGTTTTGGGCTCCTGCGCATTACCTGAGCAGCGCGCGCGCCGGGCGCATCTGTCCGTCCTCCCGCTGACGTCACAGCTGCCAGAGGTTTGCGCTCGCTGCCTTTGCCTTTCTGAAGATATCCAGGAGGAGGAGGAGCTGTCAAAGTTTGACTTTCTCTGAGAACCAAAAGCGTAACGAGGACAAATCAGCGCTACAGTTTGCTTCTTTCTTCTTCTTCTTCTTCCTGTACTTTTGTAAAGTTTGGTCCCGGCGGAATATTGCGTCCTGCTGGCATGGAATGACGCCTTTCTCAGCTGGACTTTCGAAAACACGATGGCAAGCCATTTTCTCAAGTGGATCAGTCTCACCTCTCTGCTGTGGCTGGGTTCTGATGGTGTGGCGGAAAAGAAAGGTATGTTTGGGGTGCTGGTAGCTGGGTGGGAATGGCAAGCAGCAGGCTGGAACTTTCTTTTTTTGCGCTCGTCCGGCATTTACATAAATCTCAGAGAATCACACGCTGGCCGGGAAGCCGCAGAGTAACACGATCTTGTGGGAGAGAAAAGTTTCTCACCGTCTGCCTGCTCAGTCTGAGACCTAGTTAAAGCCCCAGAAAAGGCTGAGGTGAAGTATCATTCATGGTGAGAGCCTGGGTCAGTATTGATTATGAATTCCATCTCTTGTTTGTTACAAAAACACAGACATTAATTAATTATTGACCATCAAATGATGATAATAATGAAATATTGCCCCACACTGATGATGAAGATGGGGATGACGAAAGAGGATGTTGGTAAAGCAAATTGCTGACATATTTTCCAAACCCTCTTTCTATTTTCCCCGCTTTTGGTGTCACTTTAATACACTTTTGGCTGTTTTGTTATTTTTTATTTATTCTTGTGTCTTGATGGAAGAAACTGAGCGAGTCTTCTGAATTGAACATGGAACTTGGTGAAAAATCATTGTTCCTGCCTTCTCCATTCCTAGAGGATGCCACATTTTCAATTTGAATATTTTGTTATCTTTTATCTCACTTTATGTTGATTCGAAAATATGCTTCTGCACATACTGATACGTGAATGAAATACTATTTACGTCGAGCTTGCATCTGGTCCTCAATTAAATTAGATAAAATGGTCAAGACATCCTCTTCATCCTGCCGGGACAGATTAAATAAATGAGACTCTGAAGAGACTGAGGCCGATGGAAGAACGATGACTTTTTTTCTTGCTTGTTCAAGTGTTGCTTTTTGGCCTTGGAATAAAGGACACTGAAATAGTTTTAAGTAAATGACATCGCCATGTTTTGACTGCTACTGAGATGCTCTCCTATATTTTTGTGATGATGTCTTTCTTTAATTTTGGACTAAAGCGCAGATGCCAGAGAAAGTGACCAGTAGTGTCAGGCTTCTCTCTAATGACTGGAACTTCCTATTCTCATGAATCATAGCTGAGCGCACTCTTTGCAGCTCTTTACAGTGTTGTTCCTCCTCATAAGCAGATAAGCACATCCGTTGGCCAGCTGCAACACCACCAATGCTGCATCTTTCTCCTTGGGTCCGACATTTACCAACCAGTGCCGATTTTTTGAAAGCCATAACAAATAAAGCATTAGTGAGGTCAAATAGCAGAGTGCTCAGACATTTCTTGGCCCCTAAACAAATCAGTGGAGGGCTCATGCCACAGAAAGTCTCCCACAGTCAGAACAGAGTTTTGGATTTGACTTTAGACCAGCAGAGATTAGTAATGAGCAGCTGTGATGTCCAATAGACCATGTCGTGTTGTACAATTTGGCTTATTACCGTTCATTTTTTACATAATTGATCCCATCTCCATCCCCGGGGAGATGCCAGCTGTGCTGGTTGACAGTTTGCGTTGGTGTTGCTGTGTCTGTTTTGTTGCTTTTGCCAGAGGGCCTGGGACAGATGTTTCTGCCCTTTTTCCTTCGCACACAGTGTTTATTTCAACACGAGGTAAAAACTCTGTTATGTTCTTGTAGCCTCAAAATAGGTTTGAAAAAAAGAAAAAGTAATGAGAAAATGAGCCAAAAAACACACATGTGAGATGCTGCACAGCTTGATAAGTCTATGCTGGCAGTAAATGTAGGGTACCACAATGTGTGGCTTTGTATTTTTTTGTTTTTTATTGATTTATGCTATGCTCTGCAATGAGTTTATTCATTAGCTCCCAGCAAAACTAAAACATTAAGAAAATAATTTTTACATGCGCCTTTGGAGTCATGCCTGGTGAGTGTCATCTGTTAAAACTTAATCATTCTTACCAGTGCAGTAAGACTTACTTAGACGGCATCACCTGACATCAGATCTATAGGTTTTTGTGATTTTTACATCTGTGACATCTGTTTTATGTTTTTTACGTCATGACATTTGAGTCAACGTGGAAGTTAGTTTGACGGGCCTGAGTAGAAGTTACTGAACACCTGGAAGAGGCTCCATGAGGCCGTTGCCAAATGATCTAAGCAGATGACATCATCACGGTAACCAAAAAGAGGACCTAAACAAAACAAAAACGCATCTGTCAACAAGTGATCATTGCAAGAAGTTGAATCTCCTTTTCTAAAAAACCCCAAGCCTGCCAATGCGAGATTTCAACATTCGTCGGAAGCAAAATGATTACAGGGTGTCAAAACCATGACAAACTTGGTCTTGAAACAAAGCAAAGTTAATCCAAGAATTTTACATTTGTCTTGGGGGAAAAGTTGTGATTTTCTATGTCCTTAAAGGATCATGTAATCCTGGGGCTTAGAGTTGTGGGGGACAGTTGACAATCAGTCTAATCAAAGTGTTTGTTTGAGCTTAGTGACAGTGTTTGTGTTGCTGGGACTGAAATATACACTTTGACAGCAGGTCAAACTTTCAGCAAAAATGTTCAAGGTAAGCAAAATGAAAAATCAACTGTGACCTTGCATCCATCCGTGCGTTACTCTGTTATTGGTAGGTTCTTCGTCATAACTTTGTTGGCTAGCCCCATGACTGTGCTAACGATCAGACCCAACTGCAACGATTCCTACAGACTTCAATTTTCCACTTGGATCTGGCCAGGGTCACTAGTTTGGTTTGTTTTTTCTTACTTAGTTTCAGCTTTAGCACCACAGTGGACAACGCTCAACGCATACTCATGCTTTACACAAAAGGCTGAAGATAGATTTGTTTTATCTTCGAAACACTCATTTCTAAGCACAGGCACGACTGATTCATGAAACAACCACAGGATGCTCGAAGCAGCCGTGTTATAAATGCATAGGTGAAATAAGCAGAAAGAACTGATTCTAATGACAATTATTTATTTGTTCTTTCAATGACTAATGAGCTACTGTTTTGGCTCTTCATGCTACCAAATTATTGATCATATTGTGCTTGATTCAATTATTTATTTCTTTTCCACAAATAATCATGAAAATGACTCATTATAATCAAGGCTCTAATCATTAGCTCATATATAAATGGAAAGCCTGTCATGGGCCATGGATCATTTTTGGATAATGCACCTGAAGCCCACCTGTCAGTCTGCTCAGTGACAGCTTGTCAGGGTTTAATGGCTGCTGTGGGAGAGGCAGACAAGGCTCGATGACTATTAGAGCAGATCCTCGGCATCTTTGGGGAGGTTACAAATGATACTCGTAGTTTCATCTATTCACAAACTCCCTGAAGTAATTGTGTTGCCTCAGTGACCCAGTAAAATGCTCGACAGTCTTGCCATGAGTTGGACTCCTGTCATATGTGGATTCAAATAAAAGAGATGATGATTTTCTGTATTTATTGTACACCTAAAGATTTGCTGTCACAGTGTAGATTCACAGTGACTATGATTTTTGTCCAATGGGTTAACCTGTGAAAGATCAAACTAATAATCAGAGCCTGTCATCAGCTAAATCCTTAATCCCTTTGGCGAAAGCTTGCTTTGGACGGAGAATAACCCGCTTATATCAATATGCTTTTTAAAGTTAATAGGATATTCTAGTTCTTGCTAGAATGAGATTTAAAGATTGATAACGCACGTGTGAAGTTGTATTCCATCAGTTTTGCATTTCAGTGTGCTTGCACACCTGCAAAAGTTGAGCTGAATCATTCAAAATTTCACTCCTGCAGTGCATTTCAGCATATCCTGAGTAAGTGCTTTTTCCCTATCTGTTGAACTCCAATCTAACAAGCCAGGTTTTCTCATAAGTCATCTGTTTCCCCCCCCCCCATTTTTTTTTTATCATAGAACTGTGTGCCTTTTCCTTTCATTAGGACCCACTCTCTGGGAATGGTAGAGAAATATAGCTTATCATCCTGTGTAATTCTAGAGCCCAGAGAGGTCCTGGTACTGCTACTACTGCTGCAGTTTGATTGTTCGGCTTCTCTGATGACCTTCCCAGACTTACATCTGCTGGAGCTATTGTCAGAAATAAAGCTTCAGAGGTTATGGGCCTGGGAGCTGGAGTGTGATTTCTAGCTGCTCCGTCTGCCCCCTTTTGAGAAGCCGCTGCATGTCTGAATGGTGGAGATTTTTAGAGAGCGGCTGGTAAGGTGAAGGGTTTGGGTTTCACTTTGGGACAATAGCACCACTGTTCTGAGCAGGTTATCTGGTAGCAACGATACTTTTGTAGATCAGCAAAGTGCAGAATCTGTGTCCATGGCTAGACTTCTGTGACATCAAGAGGAAATCCAAAAATGAAGCAATTGTCATTGTGTCTGGAAGGATACATCAAAATACTGTATACTCTTTTGTTCAGCCCTGCAATCAAGTGATGGTGCACTTTTGTAACTTTTAATTGTCTGTCTGGTTCCGCTGCAGTAGTTTGTATACCTCCAGCATGGAATAAGTGAGTGAGTGTGTGGTTACTCATTGAACGAATTTGCACCCTTTGTTTGTACATGGTGACAAAGTCATCTACAGCATTTATGGCCTTTCCACGATCGGCCGGTTGTGCATGAAGTATCCAGTGGAAAGAGACCCAGCTGTCCAGGCTGGGAACAAAATCTTCGGCTATCTTCCATCTCATCAGCTACGGCATTGTGCTAAAAGGGGAAAGAGGCCACAGTTCCATGTATGTCTTTTTGGTAAAGCAAGTCTCTCTTGAGCTGGTGTTGAAGAATGGTCTTTTTTTCTGAATTCAATTCCCAGAATGTTCTGAAGAATTTGTTGTTTTGTGTGTCTAATGCTACCCAACACTTCATCTTTTTACTTTTAATGGTTAAAGAAAACATTTTTCCTGGATAATTTTCTTTATTTTCCATTTGAAAGATAACAATCACACATTTGTTGAGAAAAAATTACCCAGAAATAACAAAATGAGACATGCATGACTAGAAAGCTCAAATTTATAATTGCACTGCTTAGAATCAAATAAAATGGGACATTGGAACATGTGTGAAATGTGCCCAAAATGTATTTTTTCCACATGTTTTGA